GACGCCCCAAGAGGCCGCCAAGGAGACCCCCAATACACAAAAAATGCCACCTTGTTGTAGGACAACGTATATTTTAGCATACTCGCTTCTTTGGTCTTCACACCGTCCAAGACGGCCCAGAAGGCCTGCAAGATACCCCCAAGACGGCCTAAACAATTTTGACAAGGACCCCTAGACGGCCCCAGAGGGCCCGAACACGCCACAGGTGAGTCCCAGGACGCCCAAGAGAAGCCCAAGAGGACCCCCAACAGCTCCCAAGACAGCCCCAAGAAGGCCACAGGAGGCCCCCAAGAGGGCCCAAGAGGGCTCCAAGACGGCCCAAGTCCCCCCAGACAGCCCAAGAAAATCCCGGGACGGCCCACGAAGGCCGCCACACGGCCCGAAATACCCCTAAAAACAGCCCCACGATACGCCCAAGATGGCCCACAGACGGCCCAAGAGGCTCCCAAGAAGTCCCAAGACAGCTCCGAGAAGCGTTTCAAGAAGGCTCCGAAAATCAAAAAGGTTCAATGTCATGTACGTTTTTGATGAGTTTGGCCCGTTTCGCGTTCTCGGCTTTCCGACGCTCCGCGACGGCCCGGGAAGTCCCCAAGACCGCCCCGAGGAGGCATACGAATTCCCCACGAGAGCCCCAAGACGGCCTCAACACGGCCCACGGACGCCCAAGACTGCCCCAGAACGCCCCAAGACGGCCCCAAGAGAAGCCCACGGGGTCCCCGAGGAACCCCAGGGTCTCCCCAACGGTCCCCCCTGTGAGACTTACGAGCCTTGTAACCTCAAGAGCCCCATTCGCCCATGAACCCTATGAGCCCTATGAGCCCTACGAGCCCCCTGAACCCTACGAGCCCCATGAGCCCCTCACAACCCAATCAGCCTTATGAGCCCTATGAGCCCTATGAGCCTTCTGAGCTTTGCGAGCCTCAGGAGCCCGATGAGCCTTATGAACCCCTTGTGAGCCCTATGAACCCTACGAGAGTCCTATGAGCCCTATGAGTCCTATGTGCCCTATGAGCCCTATGAGCCATATAAGCCCTACGAGCCCTATGAGCCCTGCGAGTGCTATGAGCTCGGTGAGCCCCATGAGGCTTATGAGCCAATGAGCCCTGTGAGCCCTACGAGCCCTATGAGCCCTTTGAGCCTCATGGGCCCTAAGAACCTCATGAGCCCTACGAACCCTATACGATCACGAGTCCTTTGGCCCCCGGTGAGCCCTATCAGCCCTATGAGCCCAACGAGCCCTATGAGTTCTATATGAGCCCATGAGCTCTATGAGCCCTATGAGCCTCATGGGCCTTCTGAGTGACATTGCGAAAGGCACTGCCAATGCCTTTCGGTGGTCGGGCCACATCCCTGCTCGCATCCAAGCACCTATCCAACGTCGTTGTCCTTCTCTTCGCTCCCCTTCTCCCTCACTCTCTGCCTCCTGCGTTTCCTGCTTTATTATGCTATCCCTCCTCCCTCGTGTTTTTTTTTTGCTATTTCTTCTTTCGCACACTTGCTGTTTGCATTACCTTTCGCTTGCGCTCTGCTTCCTGTCCATACCTCATGGCAGCAAACCCACCCCCCAAACGCAAACATCGATGTTCAGACGGTGGCGCGCCCCCTTTGACCACCATCGACGATGGCATTTTCGCGGCATCGTGGGCGACTCTTTCGTTCACTTACCGGGCCAATGACGTTCCATGCGGCGGAGCCCGCGGCATCTTACTCGAACGCTTGGCCACGCTGTGGACGGAGCCCAACCCACCGCCGCGCACAGATGCCTCCTGGGCTCTTCGGACAATTCGGACACTGGAGGCTGAGCTTCTCGCACTACGTTCGGAGGACGACGCCGATGCCGAACTCCCCTCCGTAGACCCCGTCCTCGCCATCGAGGATGCGCCGGCGACGCTTCCCATCGCCGGCAAGCCCCTGGCTGCGGACGCCCAGGCTCCGTTACCCGAAAGCCCTGGCCCTGCCAGAGAACCACCCTGGAGACCCGACCCAGAGTTTGACGATTTCGCAGAGAACCTCTGTCGGGACGCTTCGGCTGCGTTGTCCGTGTGGACTCGCATGGACCAGCGCGCCGACGTGGTCACCATGTACCACGCGTACGACTTCGGTCCAGCCTGGCGTGCACCGAATCCCATGCGCTGTGGTGGCTGTCCTTGCTGCACAGCGTGCCTCGCCGTCGACCCGTTTGCGCCGCGTTCGCGGCGTTAGCCGCAACCTCCTCCGAGCCAACCGAGGCCAACGCACGCGCCATGGCGGACGCCATCCGTACATACCCCGTGAAGGAGACTCGCTGGGACACGTCGCGCCCAATGGGGGGCGCAACCGTTCTGGACCAACTCCTGCGTAGCCCCACGGGCTTAGACAGCCTGCTCGACCACGCCAGCGCCATCGCTGGTTTGCAGCCTGAGGCCAGAACACCACGAGCCCTCGACCTGACCCTCGAAACGTTTAAGACGAAACTTCCCGTCTTGCACGGGGGTGCAAACGCACCCAGGGGCACCATTTGCGGCTTATCGACGCCCTGGCTTCCAGGACGGTTGACACATAATGGTCTGTCGACGATTGGGACACAATCGCGCGCTACCTCCCTGGGGCATCCGAGGCCGCAGCCGAGTTGGGCATCCTCAACTTCGCTGCGGCGCGCCAGCACCTGGAGTGGATTAGTAACCGTTTCGGCGCAGGGCAAAAACCATTCCGACTTCGCGACCTCACAATGGATTTTTGCCTCCGTCCACGCCAGCCCAAACTGCACAAAGACGAAGGCGTGCCGTTCGCCTAGAACGAGTGCTGACCGCCCCGCGACAGGACCGCCTCGCCGGCTTGCGTTATTTCTCTCTCCTTCCTCTATCACTGCTCTCCTCTGCCTTCGCCACCATGCTTGCGCTCCTCCCTCTTCCGCCAGTCCGTGGCCGGAGACAAAACCTCCAGGCACTGGAGCATGTGGTCTGCATTTACGTTTCGACAGTTTCGGCCTCCAGAGATTGCCGTCGGGCCCCGGGGCCGGGGGCAGAAACTTCACTGACCAAAACAGGTGCGCTGTTCTCGTTCATCAGTTTCGGCTTCCAGAGGCCGCTGTCGGGCCCCGCAGCCGAAACACAAATTTCCAAGGATCCAAACATGTTGTCTCGTCCTGCTCCTCCTTTTCGTCATGCTGCTCGTCTTCCTCCGTTTCCTGTCCTCCGCCTCCTCCATTTCCTCCTTCAGTCCCTCCCTACGCCTGCTCCATTTTCTCCTTCACTCCGTCCTCCCACCTCTGCCTCCTCCATTTGCGAGCCCTATGAGCTCTCATGAGCTCCGTGAGCCCCATCCGTGCGAGCCCTATGGCCCCTATGAGTCTGATGAGAGCTATGATCCTGATGAGGTCACTGGGCCGTGTTAGACCACATGACTCCATGAGCCTTATGGCTTTCGTTACCCCGATGCGCCCCATGAGCCCTGTGAGCCCTACAAGCCGCTCTGCGCTCCATAAGCCATATGAGCCCTATGATCCCAATGAGCCCTATGAGCCTTATGAGCCCCACGAACTCTGTGGGCCTTACGAGCCCTACGAGCCTTACTAGCCCTACAGGCCCGATGATTCCAATGCGACCTATGAGCCCTATGAGCCTTATGAGCCGTATGAGGCCTATGCGCCCTGTGAGCCCTACGAGCCTTATGAGCTCACGGGCCGTATGAGCCTTATGACGCCGGTCAGCCCTACGAGCTCTACGGGCCCTATAGGCTATAAGCCCCATGAGCCCAATGAGCCCTATGGGCACTATAAATCCCACGAGCCATATGAGCCCTGTGAGCCCCATGACCCTTCCGAGCCTTATAAGCCTCATGAACCCTATGACCCCTTCCAAGCCCTATGAGCCCTAGGAGCTTAGGAGCTACATGCCTTCATGAGCCCTATGAGCCCTATGAGTCCTATGAGCTTTATGGGCCTTATAAGCCCCAGGAGCCCCATGAGCACTGTAGGCCCCATGAGCCTTCTGAGCCGTATAAGCCCTATGAGCCTTCTGAACCCTCCGAGCCCTATGAGCTATGAGCCCTACGAGTCTTCTGAGCCCTCTGAGCCTTATGAGCCCAATGAGCCTCATGAGTTCTTTGAGCCCTATGAGCCTAAAAAGCCTTAAGACCCCTAGAAGCCCTGTGAGCCCTATGAGCCCCATGAACTCCATGAGCCCTACGAGCCCTATAGGCCCTATGAGCCTCTGAGCCCTTCGAGCCCCAAGAGCCCTATGATCCCTGCGAGCCCTATGAGCCCTGTGAGCCTTATGACGTAGTAGCCCTACGAGACCGACGGGCACGATGAGCCCAATGAGCCTGATGAGCCCGATGCGCCCTATGAGCCCGAAGGGCCCTATGAGCCTTATGAGCCCTACGAGCCCAATGAGCCCTATGAGCCTCATGAGCCCATTTAGCCCCATGAGCCCTGTGAGCCCTATGAGCCCCATGACGTACTAGCCGTATGAAGCCTACGGGCATAATGACCCCGATGATCCCGAGAAGCTTGATGAGCCCGATGAGCTCTAGTCACGGCATAGAGCCTTTCAGCCCTCTGACTCAAAGGACCCAATGGGTCGTATCAGCCCTGTGGGCCCCATGAGCCACTTTGGCGAGCCCAATCAGACCGCGGTGCGTGCGACTACGGGTCGCGGCGAAACTCGCTGACGACATGCGACCAAGATCTTCAAGGCGAAGCGAAGCGAGCCGGTAAAATCTGGTGTGTATATATATATATATATATATATATATATGTATAGTCGATCAGACAGTGTCCCAATACATTTGCACGACACATTTAGCACGACGTATATCCGAGCCGCGCAAGGCCCCCTTCCCCCTCCCCCGTTCTCCTTCCTCCCCCATGCTCCTCCCCGAGGAGGCGGAGGAGGGAGGGAGGAGCGAGGAGAAGGAGGGAGGGAGGGAGGGAGGAGGAGGGAGGGGGATGGAGGAAGAGGAACGAGGAGGGAAGAGGGAGGATGAGCCCGTCCCCCCCGTGGGGCCGGGGCGCGTGCGAGGCAGCGCGGCGATGCGTCAGCCGAGCCGCCCGCTCAGGCGCCCCTGGCTGGGGCCCCCGCGCCCCGCGGCGGGCTGCGGCAGGGGAGGGCGAGGAGGAGGAGGAGGAGGCGGAGGGCGACAAGGAGAAGGAGGAGGAGGAGAAACTGGTGAGGGGGAGGAGGGTGAGAGCAACTAGGGGATTATGGGGGATGATTCACCTGGTGGAGCGTGCACCATCAGGGCTTGCGCTGCTCACGCGGGGGGGAAGAGGGGGATGCGTAAGTCAGCTGCGCGCTGCCAGTTTCGGCCCCATGGTTGCGCACACTCTTCGATACACGGCCGTTCCCGGCGCCTCCAGACGCCAGGGAAAGTTGATTCGACATTCTCCCTTTTATTGGTTTCCCTCTTTCGTCCTCCCCGAGATGACGCGGTCTTGAACGCGGGCTTATCCCATTACTGAGCTAGGCCTGCATATACGCGTTTGTATGCGGGCGCAGGCAGACGTGTCAGAGGGATGAGTACACGTATACGTTAGTGAGGGAGAGAGAGGAGCACAATACATATACACAAGCCAAAGAGAGATATACTATATATATATGTATAAAGAGAGTGTGAGAGAGAGAAAGAGAGAGAGAGAGAGAGAGAAACAGACAGACAGAGATACAGAAAACACATAAAGAGACGCACGCACCAACTCCTCTCTCTCTCTCTGACTTTTTGGCGGTCGCGGCCTCTCGCGCAGCGACGAGACGGAGCAAGTCGAGTAGTCGGCATCGAACCAGCAGACACGCGCACACACAGAACGACAGAGACAGAGACATACACGGGAAGGCAGAGAAAAGGTGATCGAGCGAGAGATGGAGAGGGCGGGGACGGGGGGGGGACGGCGCGCCGCGAGTACAGTCGGGGCCCTGAAGAAGGAACCCTTTTCGTTGGGGAGGGGCTCCGTGCTCCTTAATTGTTTCGCAGCTTGCCTTAGGTTTTCCGTAGGTTTTCGATATGAAATCGAAGTTCATTGTATGGAGAATAGGGGCCTCGTTCCTGATTTAGGGTTCCTCAGGTCAACGCCCCGACTGTACGCAGGGGCTGCGAGAGCTCCCTGGGGGCCCAAGGCCTGCGGGCCCAGGGCGGGCCACGCGTGAGCCACCCGAGATGCTGGACGGCGCCCCCGCGCCGCCCGCGCACTTCAGCGCCGAGGACCAGAGGTTAGCAGCCTCGAACGTATCCCTATCCTTAAGATTGACACGCCACAAGGCCATGACAACCTTGGGGATTCGCCCTCCCAAACTAAGGGAATCCCTAAGATTGGCATCGTGATGAGGGATATGTTCCAGGCTGGTAAGGAGGAGGGTCTGGCGGAGGCGGCCGGCGGCTGTCCCGCCCGGCCCACGTCAAGAGTTTGGACGCCCGATCTGGGTACGGAAAGAATGAGCACAATGCCCTACAACAAATGTTGTCCCAAACCAACAGCGGCCGCTGTTAGTGCCCATATCTCCACGAGCGACATGGGCACGGAAGGAATGGGTACAATGCCCAACAGCGGATCTTGTTACCTAGCAGCGAAGACTGATAGGTTTTTTGTGGGCTCCAAAGAGAGCATCTTGACTCCCCAGGGGGGTCTGGGCGGATGCCGGGAGAATCCGGGGAATCCGGGGACTCCCCAGGACTCCTATAGATTCTTATAGTTTCCAATGGATTCCTATGGATTCCTACAGATTCTGTCCCAGAACACCATTCCCAGGCCACATGTTGAATGCCCAGAGCCAACTGTAGGCCACTTCGTGTTCTTCGTCTTCCTAGAACACCATTCCCAGGCCACATTTTGAATGCCCGGAGCCAACTGTAGGCCACTTCGTGTTCTTCGTTTTCCCAGAACACGATTCCCAGGCCACATTTTGAATGCCCAGAGCCAACTGTAGGCCACTTCGTGTTCTTCGTGTTCCCGGAACACCACTCTCAGTACACATTCTGAATGCCCAGAGCCAACCGTGGGCCACTTCGTGATCTTCGTGCACCCAGAACACCAGTCTTGTGCCATATTTTGAATGCCCGAGCTGAGGCAGGCTGAGGCCGAGGCAGGCTGAGGCCGAGGCAGGCTGAGGCTGAGGCTGAGGCACGCCGAGGCAGACTGAGGCTGAGGCTGAGGCAGGCTGAGGCAGGCTGAGGCAGGCTGAGGCTGAGGCTGACGCAGGCTGAGGCCGAGGCAGGCTGAGGCTGAGGCTCAGGCAGGCTGAGGCTGAGGCTGACGCAGGCTGAGGCCGAGGCAGGCTGAGGCTGAGGCTGAGGCTGAGGCTGATGCAGGCTGAGGCTGAGAGGCTGAGGCTGAGGCAGGCTGAGGCTGAGGCTGAGGCTGAGGCAGGCTGAGGCTGAGGCTGACGCAAGCCGAGGCAGGCTGAGGCTGAGGCTGAAGCTGAGGCAGGCTGAGGCTGAGGCTGTGGCTGAGGCTGAGGCAAGCTGCGGCTCGGCAGGCTGAGGCTGAGGCTGATGCAGGCTGAGGCTGAGGCAGGCTGAGGCTGAGGCTGGGGCAGGCTGAGGGTGAGGCTGAGGCCGAGGCAAGGCGAGGAGGCTGAGGCTGAGGCTGAAGGCTGAGGCTGAGGCTGGGGCAGGCTGAGGCTGAGGCCGAGGCAGGCTGAGGCTGAGGCTGAGGCAGGCTGAGGCTGAGGCAGGCTGAGGCTGAGGCCGAGGCAGGCTCAGGCCGAGACAGGCTGAGGCTGAGGCTGAGGCTGAGGATGAGGCCGAGGCAGGCCGAAGCTGAGACAAGGTGAGGCTGAATGGGGGGCGGGGAGGGGGGAAGGGGGGGGGAGGAGGGGAGGCTGAGGCAGGCTGAGGCCGAGGCAGGCTGAGGCCGAGGCAGGCTGAGGCTGAGGCTGAGGCAAGCCGAGGCAGGCTGAGGCTGAGGATGAGGCTGAGGCAGGCTGAGGCTGAGGCAGGCTGAGGCTGACGCAGGCTGAGGCCGAGGCAGGCTGAGGCTGAGGCAGGCCGAGGCTGAGGCCGAGGCAGGCTGAGGCTGAGGCTGAGGCTGAGGCAAGCCGAGGCAGGCTGAGGCTGAGGCTGAGGCTGAGGCAGGCTGAGGCATCCGTAGGAATCCATCGGGACCCTTAGGAATCCCTAGGAATCCTTTGCAATTCCTCGGAATCCTTAGGAATCCGTAGGCAACCTTAGGAATCCGTAGGCATAGTTAAGCATCCTCAGGAATCCTTAGGAATCCTTAGGATTCCCTGGGAATCCTTAGGAATCCCCAGGAAGCCCTAGGAATCAGGATTCCAAAGGATTCCGAAGGTTTCCTGAGGATTCCTATGGATTCCTAAGGATGTCTAAGGATGCCTTAGGAATCCTTAGGATTCCTTATGATTCCATTGGATTCTAAGGCCGTTGCCACTGTGACTGTCATTGCGAATGCGACTGCGACTGCGAGAACAGCAGAATTCTACAACTGGATTATCACCTGAATCTTAAGAGGAATGCTTCCAGATATGCTTATACACATCGCTGTTAGGTTGTTTTGCTGGGATGTTCATTTTGAACAGGACTCGCTGTCCATGCCGCCGCGGCCTGTGTCCATTCGAGACAGAAGGCCGCCTGCTCAACAGCGGCCGCTGTTGGTTTGGGACAGCATTGGTTGTTCGGCATTGTACACATTATTTCCGTACCCGTGACGGGCGTCCAAACTATAGGGCTCCCAAACAATGTTCTAAGAACCTTCTGTGGTTTCCACGAAGTGCTCTCAGAATGCTTCTGGCTGGCCGTCCTGCTTTAACCCATCGGGCCCATGTTCTAAGAACCTCGCTTCTGTTCTCAGAACATCTTGGGGTCCCACGAACCTCTGGTGGTAGGCCCATCGAACTGCCGGGACGGCCGGCCCCTGCTCAACCAAGGGATCCGCGCAAAAGATCGGCCCCCGGACCCCTCCCAGGGTCCGCCCTGCCCCGTGCTGGGGGCCAGGGGGCGGGGCGGGCCCGATCGACCGCGGGTCTGTGTTCTAAGAACCTCGCTTCTGTTCTCAGAACATCTTGGGGTTCCACGAACCTCTGGTGGTAATTAGGCCCGTCAAATTGAACTGCCGGGACGGCCGGCCCCTGCTCAACCTAATGGATCCGCGGAAAAGATCGGCTCCCGGACCCCTCTCCTCCTCCTCCTCTCCTCCTCCTCCTCCTCCTCCTCCTCCTCCTCCTCCTCCTCCTCCTCCTCCCCCTCCTCCTCCTCCTCCTCCTCCTCCTCCTCCTCCTCCTCCTCCTCCCTCCTCCTCCCCCTCCTCCTCCCTCCTCCTCCTCCTCCTCCTCCTCCTCCTCCTCCTCCTCCCCCCCTCCTCCTCCTCCTCCTCCTCCTCCTCCTCCTCCTCCTCCTCCCTCCTCCTCCTCCTCCTCCTCCCCCTCCTCCCCCTCCTCCCCTCCTCCTCCTCCTCCTCCTCCTCCTCCTCTCCTCCTCCTCCCTCCTCCTCCTCATCTCATCATCCTCCTCATCCTGCTCTCCCCTCCTCCTCCTCCTCCTCCTCTCCTCCTCCTCCTCCTCCTCCTCCTCCTCCTCCTCCTCCCCCTCCCCCTCCTCCCTCCCTCCTCCCCCTCCTCCTCCTCCTCCTCCTCCTCCTCCTCCTCCTCCTCCTCCTCCTCCTCCTTCCTCCCCAGGCTGCCATTTGGGCCCACGCGCGCGGGGGCGCGCGGCGGGCGCATCCATCTGGCCCCAGCCTGCAGCCCGACGGCGGGCGCAGGCGCAGCTGTGGCGGCGAGCGGCCCCAGCGGGCGCGCTCCGTCGCCAGCCTGGCATCGCCGCCTGCGCAGGCGCCGCGCCAGCGCGCGGCAGACGCTGCGAGAGGCTGCCGCCAGGCGGCTCCTGCAGGCGCACCACGGCAGCGCCCCGCCCGAGGAACCGCAGCACGTGCAGATGCATGGCGAGGTATGGCCGTGCAAAGCGTCCAAGGCCTGCGGGTTCCGCAACAACTACTCGAGCAGGACGACGTGCTGGGCGTGCGGCAGGGACAGGGACGGCAGGCCCACGACCGCCCCCCAGCGAGCGCCCAGCCGCAGCAGGAGGCCTCCTTCGCGCGGCGCCGAGGCGCCCTC